CAGGACTCTAACAATAGAAGAGAAGCTTATGCTAGGGTTATACCGGTATAACACTAATTTCTGCCCAAATTAGTGAGTTTGCGAGTTAATCTAGGTAAAACCTTTTTCCGGTTATCCTGGCACTCTAGGAGACTCCGAACTCCACACGTATATATATATTCTCTTAAATAATAGATTCGTCTATTAGGTAGTATTTTCGTCTAGTTTATATGTAGCTGTAACAAATCTAACTATTAGCGGTTCCCGTAATCACACGTCTAAGTGGAATACACGTACAATTATAGAATTCTACTAAAACTAAACGGTATTCCTTTCAAATACCTTGAAGATCGTACTCAGTACACTCGATAAGCGCATAGAACTTTACTAAGTTTTGCGAATTCTAGGGTGCCCTACTGAAAAATCTACACTCCATTAATTTGAGCCGAATAGACCGTTACAGACATCTCCTGAAAGACTCTAAGGTTAAGCTTGTCTATGCGAAAAGAGCGTCATTAATATCCACGGTCTTAAACCATGTTCTCAAGGACAACGATCGGCAACTGGTTTTATTTTGCATTCCAGAACCTCTATGGAATATCCCATTCCATTCTCAAGATGGTCTGGAATATTCTCCTTCTAGAAAAGGAATCTGAAGTTTCAGACTAGGTCAGTTAGTCTAGTCCGTTTGACCAATAGAAAACTCTTTAATTCACCAGGTAAATGTACTAGGCCATAGAGTAAATATTTGTACCTTTCGTACCTAGAAGTAGAACACGCTAGTACGTATTAAGGTGTTCTAATTTACGTAGGCTAGGTAGCATGCGACTAAATAACATAGTGAATGACTAACGTGATCGAGCCATTATCTGTTATACTTAACTACCACCGCAATTTACATTAATTAAAGCTCTCTTATCGGTCAAAAAGTAAGATTCATATTCTCTGGGATCCTAAGCACTATCCTCTGAAATACTCCGCTCTATATCAAGAGTCTGGATTGATTCACTTTGGAATGGAATCGCATTTTAGACGCCGAACGTTGCTTAAAGACTTGTAATTTGCTTAGTCACACTTAGCACTTGCTTGCTCTCTATGCTCTCTATGCTCTCTGACTGTTTGAAGTGACATTCACATGGGTATATTTCAAAGAAGGCAAGTAAATTTAATTGGTTTGATCTGCTTTGTAGATTTTTATTGACTTCTCGCATCACCAGACACGCGAACATGGAACCAATAGATCCGCCTATATTTTGACCGATGCCGTGAGAGTCCTACAGAATTGTACTCTATAGGAAATGTTGATATCGATTATTCTGTGCAACCACAAATTCCGCTTCTAAAAGAGCTCTTTGATTAGTAACAAGTAGCGCAAAGTCATTTTTGTATATACTTACTTGCTGCAGTACGTGCCACCCCCTGGAGTACAGGGCTTGCAGTTCGCGGCAGTTGTACATTCTGCATGTGCATCTACAACGCCAGATAGCGTCGCAAGGGCGGCAAGGAAGAGTTTTACTGTTGTGAAGCGCATATCGAACGATTTTCAGGTTTGCAGCTTGAATGTATGTGGTTAAGTGTAGGAGATGACTTGATAATGTTGGAAAGTATGATCCTAGAGAGCGTCTTGGTATAGTATATATATAATCTAATGGTTAGAGCATGATGTAGGTTTGAAGGAGAACAACGACGGACCAACGATGGGAGGCCGAGTTCCAGGAGGTTACAAATAAACGTTATCTAAAAGCCATTCATGCGGTGACGTTCACACTAGCATATGTCGAGGGGAGAAACTTTATTGGATTGGTTACTTGATGGGATTTCATTGATTTTCGCATTATCACTACACGGGAGAACTCGTTACACTGGTCTGGTCAGAGGCGCTATTCGTCCCAGGTGTAACAAACGTTTAAAAGTTAGTAGGTTAACATGGAGCTTCCTAGTGCATAAGGTGTAATACAGGTTAAGAACTTGAATAAGCTTTAACGTTCTTTACGCCTAGGACGAACTAACTAAGGTTATCCTTACGGCGGGATTATTTTGAATGCAACAAACATTCTAGGAAATTGGGAATCAAAAAGGTTTATAACCGAGGTATATCATACTTCGTCCTGGGCGAAACAACTATAACATTTTCAGGGGGGGAGGGGTTGCCTACTGTCAACCTTGGCCACCTTAGGAAAGATACAATTATTTCGCATCGGACGAAGTAGGACGTATCCTTGTTTCGAGGTTTCTCTATAACCACATCAACGACCAAGCAATGAATCCGCCTACCTCATGAGAGAATGGAATTCTAATAAGCAAGTATTGCTCCAGATTCCTTCTTGAGTCTATATATGTGTGCCTCGGTGGCTCCTACTAGAACCCGATATATATGTTTTAATGATCAGGAATTTCGCGACTTCGCGGCTGGATTAGACACTTAGATTCGAGCTAGATTCGAACTAGGAACTTGCTTATAGGTGCGTCACTTTCTCTCGGTGCTACTGGCCGGAGTACCTAGATACTTTTATATTAGAAGGTTTTATCGTTAACAATAAGAGCAGCCCTAGATTAATAATAATATCTGTATCCGATATCATTAATAGAACAATACCTACCTTACTTTGATGAATATACTTTATTAACTAAAACAGTAGAAGAATTTGAACTTTTTAAAATGCTTTCAACTAACAGAGCCTAAGCGAGAGTTACCTCTACATATTGGAGCCTTCCCTCGCTATTTTTTCTACTCTCTAACAGCCGATAAGCCGGATTTACGGGCGGGCGTACGTATATCCCTTCCTACTATCCCCTGGTTGTATCATATGTACGTTTGGATCTTTAGGCCCAAGGCATCCATTCTCGGTCTTGGTAGTGGAGCTTACTTTGACATCAGTACTACCTTAGATGTGCAAAACAAATCGGACCGAGCCGCCGTAGTTTGCCTAGAAACCATTCCGGCTGTTCCGACTAGTTAGATCCAGCTGATCCCCTACAAATTGGCTGTTTTAATATAGATAAGCTTCGCGAAAGACTTGCTTTTGGAAATTATTGCTTAAGTAGGAAATCGTAAACCTAAAAGTCATGATGCAACCAGGGAACAGTACGATGTATGCCCTCGCCTGCGTCCTTATGTGTCATTTGTCCCTACCTCTAAGTCCCTGCCCTAGCTCCCTCTCAATCTTTCTTTACTCTAGGCATATATGTGAGTCAGGAAATAAACAGTAGTTTGTCGAGAAGTGTAGGAAATTGTGAAATAGATTGAATTCAAAGTAATGTGCATGAACCCTTAACCCTCAAATGATGTTGCCCGCCCTTCCTCCAAGAGGTACACCTTGGGGTCATCGTTCAATTGACTCAAACGCTATGAATACATTCATGGATGACTTGCTTTCTGGTGGGATGAGAATTGATGCCTACTCCGTGGTCCCACAGGGCTGTTTCTAATCGACACTGCTAGAAAGATATGGATCTGATGCGAGTCGAAATCGAGTGTTATGCGCATAGACAAGTATCGTTGCTACACAAAGTCCTGTATCAGTAACAAGTACCACATACCCTTTTTCAATAGCAAATTTGAAGCAAGATGACTCACATGCAAAAACGCCGCCCTGGTTCTAGACTGCACATGGTACAGTCTTCGAAAGTGGTACAATTCCCGCCTTGTTTTGATGCACCAGATAGGGTCGCGAGGGCGAGGAGCACGAGTTGCACTAGAACGAATTGCATATTGGATGATTTGTTCCGAGGGTATGTGGGACCGAGAGTAGGAAACGGCTGGGCATGGTCAGAGGATGTGTAGCGGGTGGTTGGTTATATAGGATCAAGTAAATCTGTAATAAGATTACGGAGTGAGGGTCGAATTGCGGATTTGCAGATTTCATCTAAAGACTCGATCTAAGCCACCAACACAAATGTTTGTCAATCCAGGCAATATTTAAATTTGATTTAAGTTACTTGACGGGGTATCATTACCTCTTTGCATTAGTATAGACACATTAACTAGCAATCGCTTGTAATAGATCTGTTTATTTCTAACCTACGCGATCCATTGTGCTAGCGTACACGAGGATACGCGCCTTTGACAAAAACCTGCCTACGTTAGCGTCGTTTTCTGGCCAGTTAAAGCCAAGTTTAAGGGTACTACGTTGACGTAATTTCCTTTAACAGTGCTCGTACTGTATTATACTCGTATAAGTCGACTAGTGGTCGTGTATCATAGGCACAGACAATGCTTGTTGCTACAACACCAGTTCTGTATCGGTAACAATTACCACATATATACCCCTTTCCAATAAAGATTCAAAACAGAAGTATGTATCTAAAGGGAAATCCCAATGTAATTATAACCGCAATCAATTTACGACGGTTATGAACCCGGCGTACAACAGTTATATATAGATTAAGATAGTACTAATATAGTTATAAGTATTTATAGTGGTTACTACCTTTATTACAACACCCTAACAAATTAAATATAAGGGGTTTCCCTCAAGGTACTAAGTAGGTAGGTATGAAAATGAAAACATAGAATAGTTGTTGTTAGGATTGCCCAGGTGGCCGATGTAGCCCCACCACATCTCACTTTAAATCTACTCGAGTAAACCCGGTTCATGGACCGTAGGGAGTAGGGACATTGAGGCTAAATCTTCATCCCGAGTCCAGAACCAGAAGCCATTTTCCCCATCCTCTACAATCACCCATTCTGTATTCTAAAACCTCCAATCACGAAGCTTCCATCAAGCAAAGCAAAAGAAACAACGCACCTCGGCCAAATTTCTCCACACCCGAGAACAATAATGCCCAGCCCAGTCATCGGCAGCCAAGGCGGCGAAAATCGGGGAAACGTTGTACGAGCCTCCAAAAAGCCATGTAACACCCCTGAAGCCCCTCTAGCGCGGGGTAATCTTTTATGGGTTGTGGTGTGACTTCTGTGAGAATCACCTGTTTTCCCATCTGAAAAGTTTGGCCATCTACCAATCGTAGGCTTCTGGATGAGATCTAGATGGTAACACGACATGATTAATCGCGTGGGATTGGCGAAGGCGGGTGAAGAGATTATTAGGGATTTGATGATAAGCTTTGGGGGATTCTGTTTTATGGGAGTTGTTTTGTTGGGGGTTTTTCTCTTCCTTTTGTATATTTTTACTTGCTTGAAATACTCTTCTTTTGGACATTGTATCTACGCATATCCTTTTCAGGCCACCAGATACTTCAATACTTGCATAGAATCTTCACATCGTCCTACGCCCTACGCTTGTCATATCCAGTCAAAAGATTTACCAATTTCCCTCGTAACTTTGCTGCGAAATCTCCATAAACAACCATGAGCATGCCTTTCAATACCCCCGCTATTCTGCGCACACCATATACCATACAACCCGTCCCACGAGATCTTATCCTCTCTTCTCCAAAGTCCACACGCGATGATGAACCTCATATTCTTTGGGTTGGATGCAGTGACAGCTCAGTTATGGAGACAGATTCCCTGAATGTGGGGAGAGCCGAGATGTTTGTACATAGAAACCTGGGACACCTTCTGAGCAATGGAGATCTGAGTAGTAGAAGTGCTGTCGAGTGGAGCGTAGAGTTGTTGAAGGTACGTCTAAGCTACAGCTCCATATGATTTAGTATGCATCATCGGCTAGCAAGCTGCGTTGGGTCGCGAGCAGTGTATGGGAGGATTTTTGGGAACTTCAAAGCTTGAACAACTTTCAATAACGTATTGAAGAACTGTGTATCAGATAGACAGCAGGGATTCGTACTAACACATTCTGAACAGGTTGACCACATCGTCGTCTGCGGCCACTACGGCTGTGCAATGCTCCAACAACAAGAACACGAATCCCTCAAAACCCCAAACACCTGGTATAAGTAAGGTTCACCTTATCCCCATATTATTACTTACTCTCCCCATTCTCTTGCTAAAGACCCCTACCACCAGAGACGTAGCCCAACTCCATCGCCACCACACCCTCGACCTGTCAGAAAAGCACATTGTCCTTCCTGAACATGATCTCCAACACCGATTCGAGGATATCTACGTCCTGGCAGAGGTAGACTGGCTAAAGCGACAGCCGTTGGTTAAGAAGGCTATGGAAGAGAGGGGGATGCAGATTCATGCTTTTGTGTGGGATGAGGAGACGAATGGTTGTGTGCAGCTTATCGCTGGGAAGCCTGATTTGTCATAATTTGATAACTTTGGCGGAGGCGTGTGTTGTAACTATTTTGGAGTATTTGTGTGGCGTCAGCCTCAGCAGCTATCACCAAAGGGACCCGAAGGCTCTTTTTTGCGGTTAGGAGATCTTTTTGTGGGTAAATGCTTGTATGTTTTTATTCGCGGGAAGTATTGTTTGAATAGAATTATTATCTGACTTGTATCTTCTGAATAAGCTTGTCCCATTTCTCTCTGATAACAGAGCCAATAAACCAAAGTCTAATTAATGAGACGCTTTTTTTGTCTCTACAGCTCCAAGAGTTTAGTATTTATTATCTACCTTAGCGGAAGTGGGAGGAGAGTATTAGGGAAGTTATACACAAGTATAAGGTGTGAATATAAATTTTGGGAAGGGTAGAGGGGACTAGGGAGTAGGGTTGTATATCAAGGTAGAAGAAGAGGGAAGAGGTTAGCTTGTATAGAAGATATCCTAAGGTGAATCCATGTTGCTAAAATAGGGTTCTCATTGTTAGTATCCATTTCCTTACTTTTTTACTCTCCTAGAGAGGAGTTCGTATATACACGTAACAAAAACCAAATATCAAAACCAATAATAAGTAAGTTCTTGAACGTTGCAGGTAACATTAAAGAGTAACATGGTGTTTTTTTATATGGCTTGAGGACGAACAACAGGCAAGAGCTAGCGGCGGGCCAGGAATGATTAACAAGTTCATATTTCGTGCCTTAGAGTAGGAGGCGTACGCTAGAGCCCTAATGGGTCTCATTTCCTTGCCCCTACCCTATTTTATACATCACCATTTGTATCGGCTGAGCAGTTGGGCACAAATGAATTAGCCTTTATATTTTTCTGTTTTTAATAAATAGGAATAAAAAGAGCGTTGTGGTAATCTGAGGCTCTCTGAACCCCATGTGCTAGTCTCATATGTGCCCCCGCTCCCCCCCTTCCCCCCCTTTTCCCTCGTAGGCATTATGTAGGACGAACGTGAATATGAAACAAGTTTTATAGCTAGGCTAAGCTGGAATTAAGAATGAAGAATTTCAAGGAGAGCGAAGTAAGTAGATTTTAGACCGGTATATACGATACCCTAATGTTACCGGACGAATAGCTATCGCTTGAATAAATTCGCTTAATTGTCCAGATTGTTTGGTCTCTGGTGGTCTCAACGAAACGCTATATAGACGGTATTTGCTAGCAACGTCTATTTTTCACTTTCCATACTACGTGGGAGTAGTGTAGAGTTCGGAATTAGCTAGCTGTCTTTTGTTACTATCGCAATTAGTACTATTTCCCGCCACTTTGCTATATTAGCCACCTATTAAGACATGAACCTAATAAAGAATGTTTATATAAGATGTAAGATATATTATAAGACTCAGCATGAGAAGAATTGGACAAATATAGTGATTTGCTTGGTGGATAAATATAGTTTATATTGAACTCTATAGTTGATTATAAAAGAATGCTGGACTTGATAACACTGGCGAGTGTATTTTACTTTGCTCGCTTAATTCCCTTTCTTCATTTTTAAGATTCTTAAGTATGACTGAGCCTCACTTGTGGTCTGTCAAGGGGTAACTGATGCTCTGAATATTTAGACAATCTTTCTAGTCTTAAATAATGTTACATTGACAGTACTCAAAAAGAAACGGACTATCTATATCTCCTGACTTGACTTGCGTTAGCACGTATCTAGACTGAGTGCGAAGTTATTACTATAATCTTGTTACTCCTTATTGGGCCATAGTTCTTGCGAGAGTTGTTCTAACCTCACTAGCACCCCTGGCGATGTGTTTATTCCATTCTTTGAACTCAAATATTCAAATAAGTGTTTGTGACCCCTGTGAGGGTACAGACGTGGAGGAAGCGATGTGGCCCGTGCCCTTGGAACTGTAAATAGCCTCAGATCTTACGATCACTTCCACTCTTTGTAGACAATTTAGTTCTTACGCATACAGTTGACCTTGTCGCTATCGCACCCTTACAACCCCCAATGACTGTATAATCCGACGAAGTGTAACCCTTCAGATTTACAATATTAACATCACCTGAGTTTACTTCAAGCAAGTCTTGTGCGAGTCTAAGGTACCTACGAAGGGCAGCGATATGCGCCACTGTTTGCCCATATCTTGGGTTAAATTAGATGAGGTAACATTGGATTCTCAGATGAGTGAATGTTCCGTCGTCAGCAGTACATGTTTGGTAATGCCGCACTTCATATTGTGAGAGTACATTTGCTAATCAGATACATATAAGATTAGGTTCTAATTGTCTAAAATAATAACGTCTTATAACTTTTAACCAATAACAGGCCTAGAATCGCAATCAATCAGTCAGAAAAACGGGGCAAATAACTTGATAACATATTAACTCTCGATATGTAAGGTTTCTTTTCTTCTTAAAGCAAACTTTTGACGTGTGGAATAGTATCCAGTGTTCTGATTAATATCGTATTTGTCTTACTCTTCTCCATCCTCTCTATCCAGGAGACTTCCCAAAAAAACAGCCAAGAAACTTAGGACAATAGTAATGACCTTTAAGAAATAAAGCGAAGCTGTTTTGCATAAGCTTTTAGCTAACGTACTTCATAAGGAGTCCGGATTTATAAGCAGTCCGGATTTTTTACCCCACCATCCAACTTTTAAAAACCATAGAACTTTAACCACTTAATATTTATTTATATAAACTATACTATCTTTCTTATTCTCGATCTGGGCACCTAGGAGCAGTATGCGCTAGTGATCTACATATAATACAGGTTCGTGGTGCACGAATTCGTGGTTCAATTAGCGGGGCCACAGCTTCATCCAAAACCATATTATCACTATTTTGAATAAGTTCCCTCCCTTCCTGACCTGTAAGAACACCCCCAGTAGCAATATATTGACGTCGCACAGTCTTCTTCTTCTTTTGACGTTCAGATTCAGCTCGTAAACGTCGATTTTCCTCTGCCAAAACCGTAGCTGATTGCATAGCCATCTTACACCCTTTAACCAATTGATCTAATGCAATAGCAGTAGGGCTTGAGAGAACGTTTGTACGTCGTTTAATAGATGCTTTAATTGTCTGGGTTTGCTGATCTGCCTCATATGTATTATGGGGTGTCTCAGGGACCCAAGGTAGTAGGTTTGGAGAAAGTAAAGGAGGAGTAGGCGTATGTAATTGAGTATGTAATTTACTCAATACTTGATCTGGGTTGTACGGGACAAGGCCAGTAGTTGCGAATCCATTACAGATTGTGTTTTTGACCATAGTGCTTGTACGGGCTACACGATATATTGAAAGGAAGTCTGGTTTATCGATATGATATGTGCCGGCTCGTACTAGCTCCTCGACTCCTCGTCCATAAAGTCGCTTTAAAACTGCAAAGCAACTAACATCTAATGGCTGTAAAAGATGAGATGAGTGCGGTGGCATACAAAGCGTTATGATGTTATGTTCTGAACAGAAAAGATCGAATTCGGGAGTAGAATGACTACCATGGCCATCGAGGATTAAAAGTCGATATACTCCTTTTACACGGTCCTTGGTATATTTCTCAAATACGTCTGAAAGCCACTTAAGACCTAAGGAATCATTGGTCCACCCTTTATCACTAAGTGCAATTGTCCAATCTGCTGGTAATTGATCTGTATACCAAGTCGATATATGCACCTTGCCCTCAAATATAACCATTGGAGGCAACACCCATCCATCTGCACAAATTGATTCGACAACTGTAACCCATTCGCGATTCCCTGGTTGTATATGAATAGCCCGTCCTGTATATTCTGACCCTGTAACAACTTTTGCGGTCGCAATTACTCCCATCTGAAAGCCAGTCTCGTCGAAATTGTATATATCCTCCGCTAGTATACCATATTTCGCAACAATATTATGTACTAATCGAAACCAATCTCGGATAATCGTAGGATCCTCGCATTTTGCGCGCTTATAGTCGTATTTACGAGTGTATTTCGTCCGTAAAGAGTCGTGGCGCTTTATAAAGTTGTCAACCCAGCATTTTCCGACAATAATTCGACCTACTCCAGTTCGCTTTTCCAGTAGTAAATCGGCCATTTGGCGTATCGAATCTTTCCGTACTGGCAGACCTCTAGCTTCCATTGATAACATCCATTGTATAAGTGCTGATTCCTCGAGGTCGGTGAGTTTCTGGTTTCAGGGTCGGAAATCGCGTTGTGGAATAGCTCCCTTGACGCGGTCGTAAGTAGTAGAATATGGCGCATCGTACCTTGTACAAGCTGCTTTTAAGCTTGTAAATTGACCCTTATTGTATGCACTGATTGCAAGAGCAATTTGACCTTCTTTTCGAGACATTTGAACAATAATTGGGTAAGTTATGTAGATTGAAAGTGTGTAGGGTGGTCAATGGTGGGGTAAAAAATCCGGACTGCTTATAAATCCGGACTCCTTATGAAGTACGTTAGGTATACCTAACGACAATGTACTGTATAAAATTGAAGTTTTAGGCTTTTCTCAAATAAATCGTGGTTTTCCTTGGTTTTAGAAAGCCGCACTCCTGCCCCCCAGGAAAGAGGGTTAATATTAGAGTGAGTAAAGAAAGGGAAGTTACCAAACAGTACTGTAAAGCCTATTGCACCTACTGGCTAATCTATCCAGAAAATTTACAAGTTGCAACCTAATAAGCGAGAGAATAACACACTCCACGTTTTGTTGTTTACAGGTCCACCCATAATACCCCTATACCTTTACATGTCTTAGGAATATCCAGCTCTTACCTCTATTCTTGAAAATCCTGCAATAATCAAGTTTATATAATACAATCCCCGTGAACCGGTTACCAAGAAATTGAGCCGCACGATCCACCTGGCACCTAAATCTCGCTCAAGCTCTGGAGACCCCTGCCTGCCACTCGAACCAGCATCCCCAAACGCCGCGCTTGAGTATCTTGGCTTCGTTCATAAGTCAAGCTCTGTCCAGCTTATTTTAAAGCTTTCTTTGAACCTCCATCAATTTTGTTGTCACCACAAAAATGGCACGAACAAAACAGACTGCACGCAAATCCCAATCTACAGACACATCTCTTGAAATCCAAAAGGGAGCCAAAAAAAGGACTGCAGGCGAGGCGAACGTGGCAGGCGAAACTCCTCAAAAACGCGCTGCGATCCAACAAACTGTCAACCCAGCTGCCAGCTCAAGCTCCTCATCAATCCCACAATATGTCTACGCAGTAATTTATTCCTCGATGAAAGTCTACACCGGCGACTATGAAGACCATTACGGTGGAGGAGATGAAGAAAAGCCCGAAGTCCTTGCTGTCTACTCTGACGTGGATGATGCGAACAGAAGAGTTGTACGGGAATATGGGGAATGGGATGGGACAGTAAATCCCCATGAGGAGTCTTCATTTGATTTCACAGGCCCTTCATATGAGTGGCAGGTTGACTCGGATAATGACATAGAGGGTAGGAAAGTTGCTATTGAGAAGTGGACTCTCTACGGCCCTGGATCTGAGCCAGTGAAAAAGCGGGAAAGGTTGATTCCAGGGGAAGAGGGATTTGATGATGAAGAATCGGACGATTGATCTTTGATAGAAGCAATCCGTTATTTGAGATTCGAGCGTATTAAGATTGGAGGTTTTCTGAGGACTCTCCACTCGCTATTCCTGAAAAGGGCATCAAAGCCAAAAGAATGCAGATAAATAGTGGATGGCGGGAAGTTTTATTGTTTGTAAAGGACTCTATCATAAGTGTAACAACTTGGCGATTTCCCTTGCGTCTGTTCTGGGTTGAAGAATATCGGAGGGAGTCATGATTCACCATCCTGGGCTTTCAAAATTCAGAAGATATACGCCATGACTACAGCTAGAATATCATGAAATCTTGATCTCAGCCAAGCCGCTCTATCCTCGCGTACCACTTGTGTGGTCATGAAATACTTGAGCGTACAAGAGAATTGGGGTTCGAAGCAGAGTATTTCGAAATTTTGCGTAGCTCGGTTTTTCTGCTGTTCTGCAGTGCTGTCAAATGACTTATACCAATATTATTCCTTCCCTCGCAAAACCAAATCAATACCGTCCCTGAACCCAAATCGCTAAATCATCCAGATCCCGCTCAGTGACTTCCAACTCTAAGAAAAACAAACAGCCAACATCCCAATCGTAGCAGGTAGCGTCTGAATAAGCATAATCTTGGGCTTCACAGTGATCCCTCCATAAAACCCGGCAACAGCAACACACCCCAAGAAGAACAATTGAATCTGACTGCCGAAATACGCAACAGGATGTGCTAAACCCCATCCCAGTCCTGCGGCCAAGAATCCGTTGTAGAGCCCTTGGTTTGCTGCGAGTCCTTGAGTTTGCTTTGCATATTCCAGCTTCGTACCAAATGCTTTCATCGCCCGAGGCTTAGTCCAGAAGAACATCTCGAGAGCCATGATATAAACGTGAAGACCAGCGACGAAGCCTACGGGAATACAGGAAAGAGGAGGCATCTTTTGAGCTGTGGCGGGAAATTTGTGAGGTTTGTGAGATAGTGAGAGATATTTGAGAGTTATGTTTTGGTCTTGTCAATTGGACATGAAAACTGAGAGATGATAGAAGTTCGACACAGAACAAACAGGGCCCAGAGCATTTATATCTGTGAGAGTTCATCTCCTCAAACTCTAAAAGATGGACACCTCTCCATATGGCATGAGGGTATTTAAAGATGATCCGTCCGAGGCTCGGACGCCCCGCGAAGGATTCCACTCTCGTCTGGTCGGCCTGAGATGGGAAGAAATCATTCACGTGACCTGGCGATGGATCGCGACTCGGCGAAGTACCAGGATTCCGACGCGTCAGTTCGCGACATCATCGATTTTATCATCCACCCCATCCAATGTGAGAAAGCCAGGAATCCCCATCATTGCTTATCCGACAACCAAGTGTCCAAGATGCCTGTGTATGTTTCAATCCATTTTCGACGTGAACTCTCTTATCTGACTGTTGTAGACCTGGTGAGCAGCATTTGGCTTCAGGCGGGCGAACAGCCATAACAAACCCATTTGAAGAAGTGCGACCGCGAATCTCTGAATACACCGCCCAAGAAATTATTACCCTGCAAACAAGGCTTGATAAACAACTCGGTCCGGAATACATTTCTTCGAGAGCGGGGCCTGGAGGCCAGAAAATCCACTACTTGGCGGGGGAGAAATGTATCCAACTCGCGAATGAAGTTCTGGGTTTCAATGGCTGGTCAAGTCAGATTAGGGACTTGCAGGTTGACTATGTCGATGAGAATCCACAGACTGGAAAGGTTTCCCTGGGGCTGTCCGTTGTCGTTAGGGTCACACTTCGAGATGGAACATACCATGAGGATTTGGGTTATGGGCATATTGAGAACGCAAAGGGCAAAGCCGCTGCATTCGAGAAATCGAAGAAAGAGGCCACCACAGATGGGCTGAAGCGAGCACTACGTATGTTTGGAAATGTGCTGGGCAATTGCATCAAGGATAAGGATTATTTGCAAAAGGTTCTAAAGGTCAAAGTACCTGCACCGAAATGGGATGTCGACAATTTACATCGCCACTCCACATTTGCTGCTCCGGTTAAGCAGGAAGCTGTGGCTACAAAAGCAATCGACGAGAAGCCCCACAATGCATCCAATGGAAGCAGCACCAGTAACAATAGTAGGTCGAGTCCGGAGTTTTACTCAATGGTTTGACTAACGCCATTTGTAGCCCCGACCGATACCTTTGATGACGAATTCGGAGGTATGTACTGCGCAGCCAATTGTATGGTTTTTCATCTGACCTTCCATAGATTTTGACGAAGCAGATTTCAATGTGGCAGACCCCGATTCCCACCCTGATGAAGTCGTGCTTCCGGCGCCAGCGGCTGCCTCGCATCATTTTCCCGGACAAAACAATAACCCAAACATAAATGCGAAACCTCAGAACCAAACTCGTCCTCCCCAGATCAGATCACAGTCTATGGCTGCCCCACCAGGCCGTCCGCAGGCTGGAAATGCTCCAAATACGAACCCCCAAACACCAAATGCAGGATTCAGCAGATCCACATCCGGTGCTGGAGCCCAATCGTTCCGGCCTCCTCAAGAAAATGGTCCTCAATCACGGCCCATTCCCCAAGGCCCCCCTCACCCAGTTGTCAAAAGAGTTTTAAACCAACCAAGTCGCAGCAACGGCATGGGTTCAGCTCCCGTATCTCCCGCACGTCCGCCCACTGATGATCTGGACTCTGTCGGTCTCCCTCCCCAAGGAGCAGGATTCTTTTCCGCCCGCGGAGTAGCAGGAGTAATAGGCAAAAACGGAAATGGTGATAACGCAGATCCCAACGCACCACCACTTCCAATCCCAGCAAACATCGCAGCATTCAATCCCAACCTGGAATCGCCCTCCATACGACGCTCTGAAGGTGTAGACCACAAGTCTTCGAAGCCTCTAGGCAGAGATGGAAAGCATATTCCCTCACCCTCACCAGCTGTAGGTGCGCGAAATATCATCAATCCCAAGCTGGATACCACGAGACGGATTGGGGCACCGGGCAGTCCGAGTCCTATGGCCAATAGGAATATGTACAAGCCGCCCTCGAAGAGACCTGTTGACTCGAGGGCGCCGCTTGTGGATTTACCTGCTAATGGTCATTTGGGGGGAGGTGATGTGGGAGGTGATGCTAAGAGACAGAGAATGAATGGTTGAGTAGCTTTGTTGGGGAGGCAAAACATACATGGGCGCGATGCCAGGGAACCTTTTGGGTGTGGCGTTTTTGGGGCTTGTGTGTATTATCGAGTTCGATATTTGGCGTGCTGGGCGTATGTGTGCTGGGCTTGTATGATGGGAAATAGATTACCAGTTTCTTCAAGACTCGCTTTAAGTAGAGTGGCACAAAGGTTGCTAGATCTCGCTTGGGGGGGTAAGAAGCTACAAGTAAGGTGGAATACTTTCACAAATAAAATTTTCATTTCACAGTAATCAAAAGCTTTGTCATATTCTCATGTAAATTTTGTCTGGGTATATGCCAGTCAATCATGAAACCATTCCTGAATCCTATCAGACCATCGTAATGTGACCAAGGAAATCATTATGTATAACGCCGCCATATGCCGCAACCATACCAGTAATACTTGATTAAACTCAACGCCCAAGTCTTTACTCACTCATCCCCTCTCAACCATTCATTTGACAATCAAGACGGCACTAGGGACTAAACCAGCCTCCTTGAGAGTCTTTCCAAAGTCAACAGCTCCACTAAAAGTCTTCCTAGGAAAAGTCATAGTGAAACTCTCAACCTTAGGAGCTCCGTCGGCCTCAAGAGCCTGAGCAACTTCAAAAAGAGTAGCCTCGACCCCAAAAGTCTTCTGGACAGTACCGCTGGCGGATTGCAGTCTCAATCGTGCTTCTGTGTGAACGGTAGGCTTTCTCTCAGCAGCTGGAATGGGTGCTGCTACCGGCTCAGCAGCCTGTGCTATTTGACGACCCTCTCGCTCAGCCTTGACTTTTTCGGCCTTGAGACGGCGTTCTTCCTTGTCGGCCTCGATCTTTTCCTTGATACGTCTCTTTGCTGCGGCGTCGGCGATTTTTTCCTCACGCTTCTTGGCGGCAATCTTGATTTGTTCTTGTTTTGCGAGATTCTCCTTGATATCTTGAATCTCGCGGGTAGACTTTTGGCGGATTTTCTGGAGAGACTGTTAGTATCGAGACACATACATATCAAGTGGTGCTGCTATTGTTCCCGGAGAAAGATACACCAGAGAACTGGAAGTATTTGCCCGCAAGAACGGAGTAAACGTAGAGGAGAAAATAGAAAGGTGTCACATACCTCGTTCTTACGTTGCTCTTCCTTGTCGATGACTGCTTGCTTGGCTCGCTTCTCTTCTGCCTTTGCTCTGAGCTCTGCAAGTTTTATCTTCTTTTCCTCCTCAGTCATAGGCGCAATTTCTTCCGTGGACTCTCCGAAATCTACGTGACCTCTGTGGAGTTTTTTAGCTTTTTGTGTTTCCCTAATCCCGGGAATCAACATACGTCTTACTAGCGTGGAGCTCAGCCTGCCCCATGCTTCTGAGTTTCTTTCCACACTCATTGCATACAAGTGATTTAGCAATCTCGCCATCCTTTAATACATCTGGTTCGACGTTGGGGTTTGTCTCGTCCGCAGCGACGGGACCAGAGATCTCCTCTATGGATTTGTCTTGGTTGTCCTCGAGCCATTGCAAGGCATCTTGAACTGTACATCATTAGCAATTGATCGCACGAGTAGAATACGAATAGCTTACGTCCACCTGTCTTCTTGACTGCTAACTCTGCGCGTTCCTTTTGGAAGCCCATCTCCAAGAGCTGGCTCAAATCTGAAGGAGTTGCCATGGTGGGGTAATGATGTAGATGGTGGGCTGTAGGTGGTAGTTTGGAGTCGGATTTGGTTTCTCTGGGAGATGTGTGAAGATGTTGTGGAAAGATTTGGGAAAAGAGAGGCCCGTCACCAGTTTTAATAAGAGAAGGCAGTCAGTCACTGGTGGAGTGAAATGACTTGTGCTAAGTGAATGGATTTCTGGTGGTTTGTCTGGTACTGGTATTATGATGTCTGATGTCTAATTTGCCCCAAAGCCGAGCTTTCCCAGGCAGCGATTGGCCCAACTAGCGCGAACCTGGACCCGGCTCACACTGGAGCTGACTCCCTGACACTCCCTGGGCATTGGTAGCGTCAATGACGTTCCCCAGAATCATTGCGACTCAAACCACCATCCACCTCCTAATCGCCCAAAACCAGTCCACCAGTTCACCCTTCCCCTTCTACTAGACCAATCCGCTGTCTAGTCCACAGTCTCTGTGCAAGCACCACACTATACACCATTTGCTCTTGCGCTGCCAGCACCCTGGTGCCACACCATTCCATCTGCATCTTCAACCCGACAGACACTGACACCATTTCGGCGCGCCGGCAGACTCAGACTGAACGGGAGCTCCGCTGGTTTGGTCGGCGGCCTCTTTGAACCTTGCCCAAGCACCAAAACACCACGTATTGCTCTTCACGCAATTTGATACCCCAATAATTCCCACAACCACCAAACCCGCCATCATGTCTGTTGAGATTGATCCTCAGGAGCTCGCCTTCCAGCGTATGTCATTTCGCCATCATTTTGAGTGTCGCTAACTCAGGGCGCAGGGCCATTCACGCAGGAGGTGTCGCAAACTCTCAAGATCAGAAACCCAAATCACACACCTATTGCTTTCAAGGTACGCGGCTCTCTTGATCTACTCGAGGCGCTCAAGCTGCTAACTACGATGGAATCTACAGGTCAAAACTACCGCCCCAAAGCAGTACGTCCTACTCGATCCCGAGCATCCCAGGTGCCGTCCGTTAACAAGGTATCTAGGTACTGCGTCCGCCCCAACTCCGGCCGAGTCGAACCAGGAAAGGAGGTCGAGGTTACTGGTATGTGCACATATATGCGAATTTTTGCAAGGAGAGTTATTCGAGTACTGACGGGTTGCCCTGTAGTTCTTTTGCAGGCTATGAAACAGGAACCGCCTCTTGAAGCAAAATGTAGGGACAAGTTCTTGGTTCAATCCGTCGCAATCACCGCCGATAAGGAATTTGACGACACCGCATCAATCGTAGGATTCTTTCTGCTTGCTTCTGGAAAAGTTACTGACTTTCCACTAGTGGCAACATGTTGATGCTGCTGAGAAATCTTCCGTTCAAGAGAAGAAGATCCGGGTTGTCTATCTTGCCCCCGCAAGCCCATCAGGAGGAGCAGTCACACCAATGAGAAATGGAGTCAATGGAGAATCTAATGGTGCTGTAAGTTCCACTGTAGCTTCCTATCTTCAGGTAGCTCTGTAGCCTGTAGCTCCTCATCCTGACTATTCACTAAACCACTTCCCTATGCAGAATGAGACATCTTCGATCGCACCACCACAATATGGCAATGCTCGATCACCATCCCCAGAGGCAACATACACACCCGAAACTTCTCGACGATCTCTCGCTCCTTCAGTTGTTCCAACCTCTAAGCTTGAAGACGAGCCAAGCAACGCAAAATCCCTCGGTGATGCCAAAGCTTCGGCTTTCAACCCCGCCTCTGGCAAGTCTTCTGTAGGGGGAGCAGCCACTGTAGGCTCGACCGTTGCAGCAGCTGTACCACTCTCGTATGACGAACTCAAGGCTCAATTGGCGGATGCAAAGGCTACAATTTCCAGCTACGGAAACGAGGCGGGTCTGCGGATGCGAAAGGTTGCTGCTGGTGAGACGTCAAATGCGACAGTGAACGATGTAGCACACCGAGTTCAGGCTTCACAAGGGGGGGTCCCACTACAAATTGTTGCGGCACTTTGCTTGCTCAGTTTCTTGTTGGCTTATGCCTTCTTTTAGATAATTTCCACTTCAGCCTGTTTCCGTTGGCTTTGCTTTTGTACTATGCATGCTGGTACTGCAGGTCAACTGGTGTATTTCCGGGTGCTAAATAGGGGTGTAAGATGGGTGGTGTTTCTTTTGGGTGTGCGTGGGGGAAAAACGTATGTAACACACATCAACTCTCTTTCTTTTGTCTTCTTTCCGTCACATAGTCCATGGGGGTATTCTACGAATTTATTCGATAGGGTTTTCGCTTGTTTTTCCCCCTCTTGGAGCAATGAGACGAGCATGTGGATAGCAAGAAGAAATTGGCGGAGGAAGAAAGAGTGACCAAGAATGAGAGGAGAAATTCAGATGGGGTAGATCAAGGAATAGTACAGTAGCAAGCGTTCCATTAATTAATTTTTCACAAATGCTCTACGGTTTTTTTCCCTCCGCTGTCAGCAGTCTCGTGCTGCTGATTTCAATGAGTACCAAAGTGATGCTGGATGATATTTGAAAGTGCTCTCACCTGCCTTAAACTTCCTTGGATAGTGAGGATAGTGTCGGTGGATATTAATCCCTTGTACAGAGATAGGGGATTAGACGTAAAACTGTCAATTCCTACATTATTCCTCGAATTGTACCTATTTCCCTGTTGCAAACACGATGACGGATGTTTGTTTTCTCTTAGCCTAACGTCGAGGCGTCTCGCTTTCCCGTTGTCGGTCTACTAATCTTCATTTTTGACTTTGGGACCTGGATTAGTATTGGTTTTGTGGGTTTAGTGGGAATTTGGGAGCTAGAGGTGATTTGATGGCTGATGGCTGAAATACGGAGTAGGATGGTAGGAAGTGAGAAGGTCTAGCCTCTAGGCTGAATTAAGGGACTAAGTGATGGGGGTTGGAGTCGTGATTTGGGGGGGTTATTTGATGGTTAGTTAAGACTTTTATCTTGACATGTCTTGGTTTAAAGACCTTATATATCGGTAATCGTGGAAATTTCTGAGGATTCTTTAGGGATGGGTGATCAATAAGTATATAGTTTTATATTCATGTAAGAATACAAACGAGTACCAAGATCTAACGGGATCGAGACTTACAGTAAAACCTTGCCTAGCTTTAGGCTCCTCGCTAAGTCACTAAGTGATTCTCTTAGGCTCCTTCTTGGGTTCAGGTGTTTCTTTTCATTTGGTCAGTGACCAGGAGAGATTTTGACTGACCTGAACTGAAGTGTTGAAAACCTAGGTATGATTTACGATCCCGTTGGGGATTCTATACGGTGAGCCTGGGTAGGGGGGAATAAGCGAGTTTTTGTTCTAGGGTTAATGGTTCAAACCGTTTAGATTGTTTAGATTGTTCATATGAAGAGACTTGAGAATCGAACAGAACGTTTACGTATAATTCTATCGAAAAGATCTTAGTTATACCCACATAGTACATCCCTAAAACAAGTTATACACCCCACCATAAATAACTCATTCATGCCTCAACCCCCTCATCCACCCATCCACCATCCCCAATCCAAACCCCACTCACTCATCACCCATCCCCCATCCCCACTCTCCACCCCTCCTCCAGGAACCAACCTCTCCCTTCTCTACACCTCCTCCGACCCCCTCCCCAAAACCCTCCATCCTTATCTCCACCCACACCCCCTCCATCTCACACTCCTTATCCACCCACCATCCATACATCTCCCCATCCCCTTCAAACGTAAAAATGCTAGCCTCCGGACCATCCCACTCTTCCCACTCCCACACCACCTCCGACTCGCATCTCCAAGGTCCGCATACTGTAATGATCTCGTCCCCCTCGTCTCGCTCGTTGTCCTCGGGGTAGTTACCTGTGTAGACAGGGATGGATCGCTGGATGACGGCGTAGATGTATTGGGTTTCGTTCTTGGGCTTGGTGCTTAATGTTATACCTTTGGTTGCTGGGTGAATACTAGGACGTTTTGCTTGAGAAGATTCATCGGAGAGGTTGGCCTGATCCGCGGTTCTTTTCTTGGTGATTGTGGTGGAGGAGGAACTTGATTTCTTCTTTGCTGTAGATGAAGAGCCCATTGTGACTGGTGAAGCTCTTGGTATAGCGAGTTTTGGAAGTCATTCAAGTTGTACTTATATAGAAGGCATGGTCAACTGCAAAGCACCTAACTGTCTAGTGAAAAATACCACTACTGGATCGGTAATGTGTAACCAAGTCAATTTTTATTGTGAGTTTTGAAAGAGAGAGCCGCAGAAGCAATCTGACCAATAAATTTACAGAACCAAATAATTTCAGTGAAGCGATATCGCGCCAATAGAGACACCATTACTACCCCATTGCAATTACATCATTTTTGTGCTAGATCTGAGTCCAAAAGTTTCTGTAACCTTATGGCTGTAGTGATCATTCCTTAACTACTCCTCTCCGCTCAACAAGCCGTGTTGTCATTGCTGCCGTTTGTGCATCGTACCCGTCCAAGGGTTTTTCCCAGTGTCTACCTCTTAGTGAGCGTCCACGAATTGCCCGACGTTCAACGTATACGCAATTTCCTTCTCGGTCTTCAGTACGAGAAGGCGCTACCTAGTAGCAATGTCTTTGTCCTGGTATAAAATTGCCACCTCTCATTGTCATCGCGTCGTCGGTTTCCCACAGAAGTCTGACATGGTCGTTTGCAGCTTCGAGATCAGAGTAACAACCTTTCAATGCCGGTTCTTTGCCATGTTCCGGGAACAAAATGATTCTGTCCCAACGAGAAGAAGGAGTATGTTAGGACAGTCTAGGGATACGCGTCTCGAAAACAAGATAGACAAACTGATCCTCTTCCTCGCCCATCACACCTTGGAGGTTCCGTGCGGAATTAGCGACTTGGGTAATAGCTGTCGAGGCGTCTTCAATTGCGGTATTCACAACGTGCATCGCCGAATTCATTGTTGAACGAAAAGGATCTCTGCAGTGTGGAAAGATTAGCATTCGGTGGCTTCTGGTCGCTCAGGATCATAAATCACCTACCCAGCCCACGGAAAAATAGCTTGATAATGTGCTTCTTCAAGAAGTTTCTCGCCTAACTCGCCTTCGGGGTTCCGTGCGTGATTAGAGGCATGGGTGATGGCAGTGGAGGCTTTTGCAATGGCGGTATTCAGATTGTTTATCGTGACATCTATTGCACGGTGGGGATTTCTGTGTAAAAATTAGCATTTAGTGGCTTTCGATCGCCCAGGTTCATGAATCACGTACCGGAACCGCGAATTTTCTGTAGCAAGGCCTGCAGCACTCGCACTTCTCTTGCGTGTACGATCAACAGGTCGCTCACTGACAAATTCGACTTCATCATCAGGCGGAGGTTCGTTGGCTGCATTGTGGCCAGCAAGTCGAGAGCTCGAAGGTCCCGGTCTGCCGAGCTGCAAATCACAATAAGTTCTGAACGGAAGGGCGGATCTGACTCCTCTCTGTGACTTACCAGGTCGTGGGGCTTTGATTGATGAGGCATTTCGAATTGTCCCAGCAGCAACGATTCGATGTGGCGTTTGGAGTGTGTCTGTTGCTGCTTGGATTATTGAGGTTGGGTTGTTGAGGCTGGATTGTTGAGGAAGAGAAGAGGAGGAAGAGGAAGTGGGCTTCAAGTTAAGTGCTCGTAGACCGACAACTCGCTCCTTCCCTTTCTGATTTCCAACAACTTCTTGAGCAAGAACAACGTCACGGGGTCGAGTTACACCTGCAGGTGCAAGTCCAGGCTGTTCCTTCCACTTTGAATTCTATCTGCTCTTCGACTTGAACCTCCTCTTGCTCCATCGATTTGAAGTCTCGCGACGCTAGAGTACCCTGTAGTACCTCAAGTCGGGATGAGGTTCCAAGTGGCAGGAACTTGCCAAACAATCTGGGAAACTGATATTGCTGGCCGAGGAGAGTGCAGGTAATTAATTTATGGGCATGAGATTCCGAGGTCTTTGAATGTGAAAATCTTGGTATAGATATACATGGAAAGAGCTTGGGACTTCAGCCTCCGCAACATGACAGCTCCTCGGTAAATTGCCTGCAATGTACTTGCCAACACAATCAGAGGGCAACCTGTCAGGTACGATAGACCGCCATATTTCGCGGATAAGATACATGATGACATCTGCTGGTTCTTTAGCATGTGTTCGTCGAGTATGTTTGAGCATCAACAGAACGCTATTCGCCGCTTCTCCAAGCTCAAGACAGTGAGAACTACCACCCATCAAATGTACCACCACAGTACGGCTCATATCTTAATAGTACCCTCCCTAATCCTTCGACAAAGATCCTCAAGTTTAACACCAATCCACTCAAAATCCTCAAACTCCAAATAAATCTGCCCACTCAACCTAACCCACAAAACCCCCCTATGCAAACCAATCTGCAAATACGTATCAAACTCCTGAAAAGCAACAGCATTAACCAACACTCCAATCCTCGAAGCATAATGGATACTGAACTCTCCCTTCCCAATGGGCTCCCCGTCAGCTTTGAAAGTGAGAGGAAGTCGTACGTTGGTAAAACAGCACTTGTTCATGGAACCACTTTGGTTGACCATGGTTTCTGTTCCTAGGATTTCGGCTACGCGGGTTCCTCCTTTGGAAGCGAGGTTCCAGCTGTAGCTACGGATTGCTTCTTCGCCGGAACAGATTTCGTTGCGGAACTTGAGCGCGGCGGGGATGCAGCAGTAGGGTGAGTAGCCTATTGTTGCTACAAACTCGAAGAGCATTACGAAATCGGATTTTTGGATGAGTGATGTATTTGGTTCTGATGGAGGACGGTAGCCATGAGATGTTGGCAAGCAAGTCCGTATGAGATGTTGGTTCCGGAATGGGACGTAGAATACTGCGCAGCCGCGAGGTGTGTAAAGCCATCTAAACAGCATCAGCAGTGAGTGAAGAAACAGCCCAAGTGCTTCCAAAGATTTACAGAATGAAACGTTTAAGAGAAAACGAGACTCACTTATGACAATTACTAATAAAAAAGTCCGGCGATACTTTTCCCAAATGCTTCAAATCAATATGACCAATCCCGTGAGCTCCATCTATCAGACTAAGAACCCCCAACTCTCTACAAGCCCCAACCAACTCTTCCCACGGCATCCTCACACCAGGAAAGGTAAGGACAGTATCAAACATCGCAATCTTCACATTCAACCCCTCACTCCTGACAACCTCCACCATCTCCCGAAACCTCCTCACTACCTCCTCATCCTCAACCGGATACTCAAGCACCACACTCCTCGCCCTCAACGGCCCCATCTCCCCAATCGAAAAAATCGTCTTCTCACACGAATCATAAATCGTACTAAAATGCACAATCACATCCCCCTCCTCAAACCTCAAATTGCGCAGGACAGTGTTAATCCCCGTCGTAGCATTCGGTACGAAAACTATTTCGTCCACCGGAGCTCCCAGGAGGGGCGCAACGGCTTCGCGCGACGCATCGATTAGTTTGGGGAGGTCAAAGACGATGAATGTGTCTGGACGCTCGGCTTCGAGCTTTTGGAGCTCACGCTGCTATTCTTGGACGAAGATGGGGAAGGCGCCGAAGGAGCCGTGGTTTAAGGGTGTGTAGGAGGGGGAGAATGCGAAGTGGGTGTCTCGCATTCGTTTGCCGTAGGGGGCTTTGCGTGTCATTTTGGGATGAGGGGATGGGTTTCTTGTCAATTTCTTTTGGTTGGTGGTGGTTGATGTTGAGCATGTGGTTTCCAGATACGGGAGTTTAGAAATTGATGGGGACACCTGCGCACGTTAATTGGCTGGAATTGTTATACTGTAGTAGTTACGACTGAGTACTATATTCTGTAGATACTGTAGATACTGTAGATATTGTAGATAATACCAGATTGCTTGATCTAGAAATCCAAGCAATTCAAAAATCGTCATACACTCACAAATTTCCGTGTCTACTTTTTTCTCTTCCCTGGAGACTGTATATTCCCATTAGGTAACATGCTCTACCAAAGCTTCACGTTTTCACTCTCCCCTCCATAACATAATGTTACTCCTAGATAAGGCCCAATGGACAAATCTTTGTAGTCTAAAGAAAATTCATCCATAGAGTGGGTTTCTCACCAGGCGCTCCCCTGTCCTTGTAGTATCGACTTTGGAGGTGGATATTTTGCCATTTTGATTTTGAGGAGATGTTTAAAGTTGAGTGTATTTTATCTCTTTTCTTTCCTTTGGTGGGTTTGGGAGGAGTTTGGCAAAGGATTGAGTGAATGTACGAGTGTTGTAATGTGGGTGGATACTGCTCCTTGCTTTACCTACCTAGGTACATGTATAATCCATCCTCCTTTCTCGCTTACAAAAGCGTGAGTCGAGCAGAGCAACGTGAGATAATGTATTTGCTGCCACTTTTCTTATCTGCTGGCAACCTTCCTCATTTTGGATATTGCTGACGAATATAGAAGCTGAATTCTCTCTTCCGGACAGTCTTAAAATGAATTCCTCATTCAAAGCCCTTACCTAATTCTAGTCTCAATTTTCGACCGATCTTTATCAGGAATCTCTCGGTAAGCACCGTTGAAGTGTCTGACGACATTACACATCCCCTCGTAATTTCACAGATCAATTCCAATTAGCAAGTTTAATGTTAATTTATGGTTGAGGTCAACACTAATTTGTCCTTCATGGACGCAATCCTCCCACTGAACATCATCTTTCAATCAGTCACACCAAGTGAAAGATGCTATCATACTATTTCCGCACTACTTTAGAGGTTGAGGCTACTCATATTCGAGTACGGAGTCAAGATCATAATGTGCGTGATGATGGCTGGATTTACGCTCATCCCCGTCATTAAGATCCAGCTGCCTGGAAGAATTGTACGTCGACCACAGTACCGAGAGTACGTCCGAAGTACCTATACACTTGCTTGGTATTGACAATGGGGCACAGCGGGGGGGGATGGGGATGAGAATGATGGGGAAAATGGAATCCCATGTCCACCCCTGCTCCATCCAGGGGGTCCAAGCCAAGTCGGTTTTCCTCAACAATGTGAAGTTTTTCAGTCGGATTTCAACGCAATCTACAGTGTTGAGGTATCTATCTATTAGTGGGTTATGTCACGTAGTGCAGATTGGACAATTCGTGCTTTTACGCCGCGGTATCGGGAGAAGACCATTTTCGCCCTAGAACAGGATTGTAGTACGAAGACGGTACGAATGGTACGGATACTGTAGTGACTACTCGAGTACAGTACATGAGTAATACTTGTACGGTAGCCACGAGCAACAGAATGGAACTTGGATTGAGGTACAAAGTAAATTTAGAGCAGTTTGTGTATGAAGTATACTACACCATGAATCAGGCAACATGAATTCTTTCCTCTGCCTCAATTTGATTGTGATTGCTGCCATTGGCAATGCAGTCTACCAGGGTTCCCCTGCAATCTGGGCGCACAAAGGAACCCTTCCGACGCCCCCAAAAAATCAGATATACTTTCTTGAAGCTTTGGAAGGAGCTGTTGGCACGAAACATGGGCGAGCTCTTCCCCAGCGCACCATCAACGCTCCACTAATGCACAGCAACGCTCCTCTCTCTCAGTGGCCGAGAACGGAGAAAGGCCACCTCAAGCCGCATAATCTCCAGTCGTGCCTCATGATTAAGGCAGCGTATGCATAGAATAAGCTACCTGCCTGAGTACGTGAACGCTAAACCCCACCAAGCCAAAGATCCACCAACCCCTCCCCTCGATATCGTTTTCGTTCCATCTGCTTCCTCGCACACACCGCTTCTCCTTCTTCCTCTCTCCTCTTTAACCCATCTCTTCTTCTACTACTCCATTGCCATTACTCTGATCTATCCAGAGTGATTGATTGCTCTTCATCTTCTTTCTTTCTTCTTTGATCTTGATATCAAGATTCGGAAGTTCCCTTCATCGTACCCCTCCATCTACAGAGGATTCCATCACGCAATCGGCGTTGACACCATCGTGAACAAATTTTCTCTTTCTCCCTCAACACGAACCTCAACCGCCACCATGGTTCAATCGTGAGTACTCCCAATGATCGTTGATGCCAGCATGCTAATATTCCATCTTCTGCAGATCCATCCTCGGTTTCCCTCGCATGGGTGTCAACCGTGACTTGAAGAAGGCCACTGAAGCATACTGGGGAGGCAAGCTCTCTCAAGCTGAGCTCCTCGCTGAGGGCAAGAGACTCCGTTTGGAGCACTGGAACATCCAAAAGAAGGCCTGTGTCGATGTTATCCCAAGCAACGACTTCGCTCTCTACGATCAAGTCCTCACTCACATCCAAGATTTCGGCGTAAGTTCTGGCTCTCAAGTGAATCATCTTGCGATGCTAATTGTATCCTCTCTGCACAGGCCGCCCCTCCTAGATACACAAGCCAAGGCCTCGATGCTGTTGACGAATACTTTGCTATGGGTCGTGGTCACCAGAAGGATGGTGTTGACGTGCCAAGTTTGGAAATGGTGAAGTGGTTTGACTCCAACTACCACTACGTCAAGCCAACTTTCCAAGATGGACAAACCTTCAAGCTCAACCCAAACCCAAAGGCTGTTGTTGAGTTCCTCGAGGCCAAGGAGGCTGGTATCATTACCCGTCCTGTTCTTGTCGGCCCAGTCTCTTTCCTTGCTCTCGGAAAGCCAGACCGTGACCAATCCGTTGACCCAATTGACCTCCTTGAGAAGCTCATCCCAATCTATGAGGAGATCCTCACCAAGCTCAAGGCTGCTGGTGCTGAAACTGTTCAAATCGACGAGCCAACTCTAGTTTTCGATTTGCCATCCAAGGTCAAGGCTGCTTTCAAGCCAACGTACCAAAAGTTTGCCAGCCTAGGCGACAAAATCCCCAAGCTCGTTTTCGCTACCTACTTTGGTGATATTGTTCACAACATTGATGCCGTTCCAACTGGCGTCTACGCTGTCCACGTCGACTTGGTCCGGAACCCAGAGCAGCTCGACACTGTCATTGGTGCTTTAGGACCAAAGACTATCCTCTCTGCTGGTGTTGTTGATGGCCGTAACATCTGGAAGACCAACCTCAAGAAGGCTATTGAGACTGTTGAGACTGCAATTCAAAAGCTCGGCAAAGACCGTGTCATTGTTGCTACCTCCAGCTCCCTTCTCCACACCCCACACACCCTCGCAAGCGAGAAGAAGCTTGACCCCGAGATCGCTGATTGGTTCTCTTTCGCCGTTGAAAAGGCATCCGAGGTCGCCGTTATTGCCAAGGCTGTCACCGAAGGCCCAGCTGCTGTTCGTGCTGAGCTAGAGGCCAACGCTAAATCAGTTCAAGCCCGTGCCAGCTCCAGCCGCACCAACGACCCCAAGGTCAAGGAGCGTCAATCCAAGATTACCCCCGATTTCTACAAGCGCAAGAGCGAGTTCCCTGTCCGTATCGCTGCTCAAGAAAAGTCATTAGGCCTTCCTCTTTTCCCAACCACTACCATCGGTTCTTTCCCTCAAACCAAGGAGATCCGTATCCAGCGTAACAAGTTCACCAAGGGTGAGATCACTGCTGAGGAGTACGAGAAGTTCATCGAGAGTGAGATCAGAGATGTCGTCAAGATCCAAGAGGAGCTTGACCTTGATGTCTACGTTCACGGTGAACCTGAGCGAAATGACATGGTGCAATACTTCGGTGAGCGCCTCGATGGTTATGCCTTCACCACCCACGCCTGGGTTCAATCTTACGGATCTCGATGCGTTCGTCCTCCAATCGTTGTTGGTGACATCTCTCGTCCTGCACCAATGACTGTTAAGGAGTCCAAATACGCCGTCTCCATTTCCAAGAAGCCAATGAAGGGTATGTTGACTGGTCCAATCACCTGTCTCCGTTGGTCATTCCCTCGTGACGATGTCCATCAATCCGTCCAAGCCGAGCAACTTGCTCTTGCTCTCCGTGATGAGGTTGTTGATCTCGAGGCTGCTGGTGTCTATGTCATCCAAGTCGATGAGCCAGCTCTCCGTGAGGGTCTTCCTCTCCGTGCTGGCAAGGAGCGTGAGGCATACCTCGACTGGGCTGTCAAGTCTTTCCGTCTCTCCGTTTCCGGTGTTCAAGACTCCACTCAGATCCACTCTCACTTCTGTTACTCTGAGTTCCAGGATTTCTTCCACGCCATTGCTGCTCTTGACGCTGATGTTCTCTCTATTGAGAACAGCAAATCTGATGCCAAGCTTCTCAAGGTCTTTGTTGATGAGGCATACCCACGTCACATCGGTCCAGGTGTCTATGACATCCACTCTCCTCGTGTTCCAAGCGAGCAAGAGATCAAGGACAGAATTGAGGAGATGTTGCAATTCCTCAAGCCAGAGCAACTTTGGATCGATCCTGACTGTGGTCTTAAGACTCGTCAATGGGCTGAGACCAAGGCTGCTTTGACCAACATGGTGAACGCCGCCAAGTTCTTCCGTGCCAAATATGCCAAATAGAGGCACTATTTGCTTTTAATATTTCTTTTTGTATGGGGATTTACGACATAATGGACTTGAGGTCTTTTGAACCTAACAGTGGAGACGATCTCAACATCGGCGTTTCTGGTCAGGTATGAAGATAAAAGTTTTTAAAGTGTCATGAGTAGCGGGTTTGTGAATTTCAACAGCATTGGGCGGGGCGGGAAATGATGATCCATATCAACCGGACATCTAAGATGGTATTGGGCAAGGCGTTTTGATCAGCGGTGAAGACTTTGACTTTTGAAATCACTTGTGAAATACGGGAGTAAAGCATGTGCTCTTGAGGATGGTGATCCTCGTAGAATATCGACGGATGTGAAAAAGGATTAGAAAATATAACCCTCTTCAACCGGGAATCAGATGTTCTTTGTATAATTGCTTGTGACTGGTGAATTGAATGTGAGTTGAATGTAACTACTAGAGCTCAATGTCTGTTCTAGAAATAGCTTTCCTTAGATCGTTGTCGAGACTCCTTCTACTTTAGTAAGTTTCACTACTTCCAGAAAAGCAGCGTATTTTCGCAGCTTTACTACTTTTACGTCCCCGGAGAGAGTATATACCTAGAGGTTGGTTTTCTACTCTCTTTTCTTTGGTACTCTCAGCTCGTAATAAATAGGCTGCTCCGTATAGAAGTAAAAACAGGGGTTTAGAGAATCTATCCTCTTTTATTAGCTTTATATAGTTATAAAAACTTTTCATTCTTCTAGCTATCTAGAAGAACTAGAGAGTTTTATTATTTGAGAGGGAAAATCTAGGTAATATAAAGGTAAGTTATTAATTAGATTTATTTATCTATTAGTATTCATAAATTAGATCGGGATTCGGGACCGGGATATCTTCGTTTACCGCTGCTCCACTCTTTCCTTCCCCACCGTATCCCCCACTATTTCTAATACCGCTGAATTTTTGAATAAGCAATCCACCGGCATCGCAAAAATCACGATATACAAACAAACGGTCGGGTGGTGTAGTTGGTTATCACATCTCGTTAACATTGGTTAACCATATTCCGAGAAGGTCCTGGGATCGAGCCCCAGCCTGATCAGTGATTTGTTGGGTTTGTCTTTTTGGGGGGCTTTTTTGGGTGGGGGGGTAGGGAAGGGGTTTGGAATTATGGGGTTTTGGTGGTTTGGGTGGTTCTGTTTTTTTGAGGGCGGGGAGTGTAGGGAGGAGTGGTATGGGGGGTGACTCAAGGGTGAGTGTGAGGGTAGGGTAGGGAAANTTCTCTTTGGGTGGGGGGGTAGGGAAGGGGTTTGGAATTATGGGGTTTTGGTGGTTTGGGTGGTTCTGTTTTTTTGAGGGCGGGGAGTGTAGGGAGGAGTGGTATGGGGGGTGACTCAAGGGTGAGTGTGAGGGTAGGGTAGGGAAAGGTGGGGGAGGTGCGGTGGGTGTAAGGTGGGTGTGAGGTGTGCACGTGTGATGAAGGATGGGAAGGGAAATCTGCGGGGAGAGTCTTGATTTTTTAAAAATTTGGGGATTTGGGGAAATGCGAGGGATTCCGGAATGGAGATGGGAAAGCGAGAACCGATTGTACAAGTCCTGGGCAAGGTAAAAAATCTTCTAGGCGGAATTTATATTCGGAGGTAAGGTTGTAATGAGAAGAGCGAGGGGAGACGGGTAGAGTGAGATTTGGATTCTTGTGAGCTGGCTTTTGTTAGGATTTGGAGATTATGGAAGTATGGGAGTCTTGTGCCTTGTCTTTTGGTTCTGGGAAGTTTTTTCTTATAGTAATTCCTGAGATTACTGTAGGAGTAAGGGAGGGGAGACTAGAGAAGTATACTTATAAGCTATTCGAGAATACAAATATATTCGGGAATATTTTATTAAATGATATTACACTAGGAGAATAAAATAAGATCTATGGTATGAATTTATTCACGAAGGAGAACTATGGATCAAAGCCTTCTTGGAAAAAAAGCTTACTCTATCTCCTCTCCGCTCTTCTCCGCGGCTCCGCCCCACGTACTTCTATTTTAGACGTCTTAATCTCCACAGCAGGACTTTATTGAGCCCATGTATCAAGGATCATTGCTACACAGCCTTGCTTGCCTTCTTATTCTCAACGAAAAATACAAAATATATGCGAATCCATGCGGGATTACTGGTCGCTAAAGTAGATCTCGACTCTTGGCGATCTTGTTTTGACGAAAATCAAGTTACAGCCTCGCAGGGCGTCGTTTGACCCGCTTCCTGAGGAGTGGAGTCCCGTTAAGTGCACGGTTTAAATGGATGATACCACCAGGGGTTGTCAGAATTCTGGGCGCAGCGTCGGATTTTGGCCGAAAACACACCAAAAACTGCGTTTTCACATCCCTATAACTCTGCGAATTCGTATTAGAACTATATATAATATCTTATATATAAACTCTTTAGAGTATATAGATAAAGTGCATATACGAAAACTTTCTTTAAAACCTAATATGTTAAGAGATATTCTAGTAGAGAGTTTCCTCCTACTAAATTCCCTAGTAAATTTATTAGTCTTATACTACTTAAGTTAACTTACTTTTATTAAGATTCTGAATTGTACAAGTTATAGCTATGATACGTCTCTATTATAGAATTTAGTTACAAGCTATTAAGATTACCCTTTATTTTATTATAATTTAGTAAAGTAGGGTGTTTTTAGTGTGTTTTCGGCTAAAATCCGACGCTGCGCCCAGAATTCTGACGACCCCTGGTGATACGGTATTACGGACAATCACTGGCTGATCTTGCCAATCCAGCATTGGTACATAATTAGATGGGAGAGCTCGGAATTACATTCTCTTTTTCTCTTTCCTTTCTTTCACCCCGCCACCTTTTGTTTTCTTCCTTCTTTTCTTGCTTTAGATTTTTGCAGTATTCGAGTCTTTTCAGTCTTTACATTCGTTTATTTGTTGTTTTCTCTCTCTGTTTTACTTTCAACCACTTTCTTTGAAGAACCTGTTTGTTAATTTTCAACCGCCAATATGCAACTCATTAACTTCCCAACTATTCTTCTCCTCGCCGCTTCTATCTTGTCAACTACAGCTCTTCCTATCGAGTACGTTCACTCGTCATATTAATCCCATTATTGACTAACAATCAACTAGATCCGAAGCTGCAGCACTTGAAAACCGCGGCCTTTTCGGCAAACCGCCTCCTAGTAATCCAACCATGCTAAATGGCATCCCAATGCCTAAAGAGGAAAACAAATTCTGGTACTGGCTCAACGGCATCCCATTATCTCCCCGACCCAAAGAGGGACCACCAAAACACCCTACCCCGAAACAAGCACCGATTCAAAAGCGCCTCACGAACCCCTTTGCCAAAAAGACTGCTCCGAAACTAGTGGCATCCCGGTTCCTGCTCAGAAAAGCAAGTGGTCGTATATAAGGAGTGGCGTCCCACTTGCTCTTCGACCAAGCAGGAAGGCATACGCCAAGCCAGCGAAGCGCGCTCTGCTCGCCGATGCGTTGATAAGACTTGGTTTGAAGAGTAAGCCTAAGGCCAGACCTGGGACTCCGGGGTTCATCAATGAACAAGCTGCGGCGAGAGCTTATGCTGCGAAAGCTGCGAAAGCTGCTCAGAAGCCGAAGGGGCTTAAGAAAATCTTTGGTAGAGATGGGGAGATGAAGTCTGAAGGTGAGAACTTTGAGGGCTGAGAGATGCTGTTGAGGATAAGGATGAGGAAGAGACTGTCGAGGGCGAGGAGGAAGTTGCTGAGGGAAAGCAGAGCGATGCTCCTGAGCTTGAATGGAGGAATAGCAGAGCTTAAAGAGAAGCTCAGTAATGGCCTTGGAGAATGGAAATCCTCCTCAGAGCAGGGCAAAAAGGCTTCAGGCTAACAGCACTACGAAAGCAAGCCGATAAGAGTATTGTTCATAACTTGAGAGATCAGAGCTTGAGAACAGACTTCTATCACGGTGCGCCATATTCTACTACTTACGACCGCGTCAAGGGAGCTATTCCACAACGCGATTTCCGACCCCGAAACCAGAAACTCACCGACCTCGAGGAATCAGCACTTATACAATGGATGTTATCAATGGAAGCTAGAGGTCTGCCAGTACGGAAAGATTCGATACGCCAAATGGCCGATTTACTACTGGAAAAGCGAACTGGAGTAGGTCGAATTATTGTCGGAAAATGCTGGGTTGACAACTTTATAAAGCGCCACGACTCTTTACGGACGAAATACACTCGTAAATACGACTATAAGCGCGCAAAATGCGAGAATCCTACGATTATCCGAGATTGGTTTCGATTAGTACATAATATTGTTGCGAAATATGGTATACTAGCGGAGGATATATACAATTTCGACGAGACTGGCTTTCAGATGGGAGTAATTGCGACCGCAAAAGTTGTTACAGGGTCAGAATATACAGGACGGGCTATTCATATACAACCAGGGAATCGCGAATGGGTTACAGTTGTCGAATCAATTTGTGCAGATGGATGGGTGTTGCCTCCAATGGTTATATTTGAGGGCAAGGTGCATATATCGACTTGGTATACAGATCAATTACCAGCAGATTGGACAATTGCACTTAGTGATAAAGGGTGGACCAATGATTCCTTAGGTCTTAAGTGGCTTTCAGACGTATTTGAGAAATATACCAAGGACCGTGTAAAAGGAGTATATCGACTTTTAATCCTCGATGGCCATGGTAGTCATTCTACTCCCGAATTCGATCTTTTCTGTTCAGAACATAACATCATAACGCTTTGTATGCCACCGCACTCATCTCATCTTTTACAGCCATTAGATGTTAGTTGCTTTGCAGTTTTAAAGCGACTTTATGGACGAGGAGTCGAGGAGCTAGTACGAGCCGGCACATATCATATCGATAAACCAGACTTCCTTTCAATATATCGTGTAGCCCGTACAAGTACTATGGTCAAAAACACAATCTGTAATGGATTCGCAACTACTGGCCTTGTCCCGTACAACCCAGATCAAGTATTGAGTAAATTACATACTCAATTACATACGCCTACTCCTCCTTTACTTTCTCCAAACCTACTACCTTGGGTCCCTGAGACACCCCATAATACATATGAGGCAGATCAGCAAACCCAGACAATCAAAGCATCTATTAAACGACGTACAAACGTTCTCTCAAGCCCTATGTCACGAATCACGTAAGCATGTGACAAGTGAAGACCAGGCGGCGTCCTGACAGGTCGAGCACTATCATATCTCTTATAGCAAATAGGGATGCTTAGACTAGCTAAGCGATCCAGGGATTTCATTACATTGTAATCACGTGACCATTTGCATCGCCAGTGTCGACAGCATCGACAGGCGATGTAGGCGACGGCGGAACATGAAGGTTCTATATAAGACTGGCACGTCTGCCATTAGATAGGAGCTTCGTGCTCAACTTAGTTATCAATCTTATCATATTAGTTTGACATCTTTGATACAAGTAACGAGTTCACTTCCAAGTGAACAACCCGAGAGTCTTCTTCTTATCATAGCATACCAACCAGCGAACACCCAGCCAAGTTTAGTTAGCCAGTTTGAGTATTCGTTACATTAAGGCAGTATTTGATTTAAGTATTATAGTATAAACTCTAAACCCTAAGAAGAATAATATTAATATATTAAATAAGCGCCTTTAATAGTTAATTAATAATCCGAAGCGTAGACTTAAATATATACCTATAGATGTTAACTTACTAAAGCTTATATTATTTATAGATACTTCTTTTATAAAACTAACTAACCTTTCCTCCTAAATAGGCTATATTTTATACCTAGTAAATAAGAACGATAACGTAGTTATTTTATACTAGAGTTCTATAAAATATAGACGAATTATATAAAGTATATTAGTATCCGAGTTATATACTTCAAGTAGTAGATTCAATATAGTAGGGGTTATTAAGTTAACGCTAGAGGTTATTCTAGGTAAGATACTTAAATTAATAATTTATATAGATTCTAAGTCAATATATAAATACTTAATGAAACTTAGTATAATAAAGGAGAAGTATCTTATAATTAATATAATAGTATTATACTAGGTATATAAACGATATAAAATCTATAAGATCCTTTAGATTAAGGGAACTACGAATCCTACTAACGCTATAACAAAATTAAAGCCCTACTAGGTACTAGTTATACTTATTAATATGAATAAGATTAAGATTATAGTCGAAGAGTAGGTTAAACGTAAGGATATTAGTAAACGATAAAATAGTAATAATATAGAGAATTAGTAGATTTAGATAGATTTACAAACTATAAGGTATTAATAAACTTAATCGATGTTAGGAGAGAAATTGATAGATTTAATTAGTTAAGGACTTTAGATAATTAGTTATTTATACTAAGTCTTTTACTTCTTTTAAAGTAGGCCTAGTATTACTATAATATCCGAGTAAATATACTCGGTAGCACAGACCACCTCACTAGGCTGGTCCTGCCTATATTATGGCGGCACGACTTCTACACCTTTGACTCGGTGTACATTAACAATAGGAATAGTCTAATACTAAGGTTTAGCCTCTTCCTGTATTATACCTTATATTTGACAATAAAGTCAAACCAACAATCAGGAGCACAACAGCCCCCAAATCGTAAAACTTCGACGTGTGATCAAGGTACAGAGGAGGCTCCTCTTCTAGAAGTGGGGTAAGGTTGTTTATATCTTTAATATGTTCAGTATCTGAGATGGGCAACTTCATTATCAAAACGCCATTCTGAAAGGCTCTGAAGGCAGAGGAAATTGAAATCAATCATCATAATTTATTGGCAAATGGAGAATACAAGCTATCTACAGCCACTGAGAGTATTGCTACCCTCCACAAGAACGTTATTTCGGCTCCGAGTAACGAAAACCAGTCAACATCAACAATTCTGTCAAAACTCGGTTTCATGCTGAAGATTTGGGTTATTGAGATGGGGATCAATTACGACTTCGCCATCGAATCAAGATCAGCATTCTTTGCATTTGCTTCAAGTACCACAAGGATAGTAAATATTTGACGCCATCTGTTAGCAAGGGCTGTCATCTATGTACCCTTCTCTTACACAACTTTTTGAGAATGTGTCGTTTGATGGTACGGCCAAATATGTTATGACGAAGGATCGGTAACGTAGGCTCAGTGATTATCCTCAAGACCACTCTTCCAATGCCAGAAAGTGATACTATCATGGCAATAGGTTGATTCGGAAAAGGAAGAACGACAAGCCGAACTTGAACAACTCTATTGAATCTTCAATAACCACAGACAGACGGCTGATCATGGTGGACCGGCTAATATCCCATCCATATTTATCGCAAGATGACAGCGAAAGCCTTTCCCAAGTTACTTTCGTCAATACACATCTCCACGTCTTCTGTTACTTTAACTAATCTAGCTAGGGATTGGAGAAGCGAATGGGTGAAAAATCGCTCTAAATGTGCCACACTGCAAAACACACAACTGCAGACGAGGCTTGTAGAAGTCACTTCATTGAGCAGCACAGGGAAATCAAGTGTTGTAGAGAACCAACACATCTCTGTAAAATCGCCATTGGCAGCACCAAGCTACTATTGGGGCGCCAGATCAACATCAGTCTTTTGAAAAACTCAACATGAGAAGCTTTAAATCTGGGGCTTAACATTAAAGCACTTCCAAAGCGAGACGCGATCAAATCTACTCAAGAAATCAATTTGACTTCGCTCTGGGTCGCTTCGCTCTGCATTTTGCAGAATTCGAAGGCGAACTGGGCCCAAGGGGGCTCGCTTATGAGCCAAGTATACCAAAAGCCTTTATTTACTCTCGGTGCCCTTGGTGCACCAGGTAGTGAGGAGGGGCAGTTTGCGTTCCGGGATCATATACTGTTACATCCCTGCTCATTGGGCAAAAAACTGTACGCGAGACATAACACAGCCTTCCTCATAATAGGAAGCGACTGGCCTCTTCATTAGCGAGGTTGGATTATTCAAGAGAGAATGTTGCCACCAATAATACTTAACTTTGGCGCATACTTGATCTGGAAATTTCGGGAGAGGACCGTGGATGAATATAACTTTATAAGGGAAAATTATTCTAGATGCGGCTTTGTGGGGAGTTCTATGACCTCTTCAACCGCAAAGAAATGCATGGCACTACTCTGAATGTTGAAGCATTAGTCGAATTATGGGAGAATATTTTGCTAGAATACTCTGGCACCTTCTTAATAGTATCTACAAGGAAACGTATGGCAATCTCTGAAATTATTAAAGTAATCTGAGATCGTACAGGGTGAGCAAATCTGGAAGGCCATTGGGAGCTCTTTTTATGAAGGCAATTACTCTGGTCAAGAAACAGAACATATTCCGGCGAGCTTACTGTTTTCTCTCCGAGCTGGTCATGGATGAAACTCAACGGAAGATACGTCGCCGACTCGTTGAGGATAACATATGGTAATCCTCTTCCTCCTATCTCACTAATTCGGAAACCTGATGGTATTTTGCTGCGTACAGAAAGCACTAGTGATAGAGGACCACCAGTAGCACTTCACATTTCTTGTTTGCCGGCCAGGATAGGACCATCAAGAAAAGCTTAACTGTTTTTGAAGCATGATTCTTAGGAGGAGCCGTGCGAACTTATGAATTGGCCTTGGGATGGGAGGGGACTCTACTTAGAGGAGGGCCTTCTTATAAGCAAGCAACCGTATCTACTCCCTCCCATCTGAGCGCACAGCTGACCAGACAATTAGAACTTTTTGGTGGAATTAACAGTCTCAACTTCCACCATTAATGAAGGGGTTCCCAAGCGGACTGGTCTATTCAA